CAATTAATGAGAGACAAACCATCTGAATAATAACAGCTCAATACATGGCCACAATGAGTGAGCATGAAATAGATAAAGACGCCCGCACCATTCAGCGACTGTTAGAATAACTGCTGATCCCGTGTGCGGTGTACAATGCTAACCACTGACTAAATGCCATCGCCAATCTTTCTACTGATGCTAATACATTAGCGTGCGATTTTCATCCCTACTTGAAGAGTAATTGCACTTAACTAATAATTGAAGGACCTTAGCTGTCGGCGTTCGCATATCTCACCTGATGCATCCTACATTTTAACACTAATTACCTTGTTTTAGATGTCGTGTATATTTTCTGTATGTTTTCGCCGGCATCCTACATCATTGCTTTGTTGTAAGTGATGCTACGCCACCCCCGATTCTAGCCGCTTAAAATTGCTCGAAAGACTATTATTTATTGCGCAGATGATATGATGGATGATGTTGATGGACCATGACAATCGTGAGACGCGAAAACAGCATTTTTTATTAGCCAAAGGATGACAGTAATTCTGATACGTCGAAGGCGCGCTCAAAGTCAACACGAGATAGCGTTGATGATAGGCGTCTTACCATCAAAGGAAATATTGCTAACACTTCCTAGAACAGGTATATGAGCATGAGATCAGAATGGTGCTTTACAATAGCTGACTTCAGACAAACGGGAGACAGAGAGATGAGAATTAACGACTTGCAACCCACACCTCGCCTCGATCGTAATTCATATAGACACCTACAACGGCACCTCGCTGCTATAGTTCACGATGGGCTTAGGGTTCGTCCACTATTGTTAAAGCCAATCGATACGTTTGTTACTGTATAAACGACAATTACAATACAAGCACTTCGCCAGGGGATACGCCTAATAATAATAATAATAAATAATAAATCAGTATGCAAGCGATGCGAGCATGGACGTAACATCAGGAGGGGGCATCATGTAATTGGCGTCGTCTTCGATCTTAACTTGTCGCTTCACATTCTTCTCTTCATGGTTTTAATAAGAACAATGCTCTGACAAAAGGACTCCAGCGATGCAGCGTGCGAGCAATCGGCGTTTTTTACTCGACATCGTGAGAGCTATGCGCATGCGCACGTCGCGTCTCGCTCACGATGACGTCATCGCTGTTGTTGTTTCTGTTGTTGCTGTTGTTGTATGTTGTTTGGCTTTACGCGCGCGGAAACAACCTGCTTGTTTAGCACTAGACCGACGTTCGAAATTCCAGAAAACTCGCGTGTTCGCAACTTGAAGAACAAATATCAGCTTACGTGCTTCTGTTAGGTCGTCTGTAAATTATGTATATATATATATATATATATATATTATATATATAATATATATATAATTACATATGTATATATTGAATGACAACAAGGGCACCAGCTTGCGTTTGCCGCCCTTTAGCGTTTGTTACAACGCGCGGTTGCAGAATATATGATATATAAAAATGAATATTGAATATTGAAAGCGATTGCTAACTGTCGAGTATAGAGTAAACAGAACAGGCAAAGAAACTAGGGAAGCGATGCCGCGCTTTCTTTTCATGTTGAATCGCTTGTGCTGCGATGCTCTATTGTCGTGCGCCCGAGAAGTGTCGTCAGTCCGACTCATAGATAATCATATAACAACGTTGTTATATGATATCTATGGTCCGACTGCAGGGCGTAACGTTAATGATTACCGCCTCCTGCTCGTAACGGCCGCTAGGGCCTACTCACTAGAGCCTGCTCGCTAGGGCCTAGTGTAGCGAACGCAGTCAAGCGTAACATGACGACTGGTATTATACAGGTTAACTGCAGGCGCTGCATTCTCTTACGATGCACGCGCGACTCTTAGCGGCTAACCAATAGTGTGAATCAATTTTGTGTTGGTTATTAAGGTATTTTGTTGACATGAATCGGGAACTGTGCGATAAACATGGGATGAACGTGAGATCTAGTCTAATTATAAGGCGTCGCACATGTTTGGAATGACGAGTATATGTTGCGTCTAGAACTTTTCTTGTTGATTCGAAGGCCGCAACCTTCGCAAGTGAAAATATGAAAACGTGATATATATAATAATATATGGCATGGGGGAAATTGTATTCCGCCGTCGTTGACAGTTTATTTATATATAGCTGATCTGGCTCTAAGGTCGATATAAACTTAAATGCATTTGATGATGGTATGCGCTATGTTTGCTTCAGCCTAATTCGCTTGCAGCATTCCAATATGTGCATATTGTCATTTATATTATACATTAATACATGTTTTAGTCATTTTAAATGCCTGATCTGCTGATATACATAGCTATATTGCGGATAATTTGACTTGTTAATTGTGTCATGAAGAATTGCATTACAAACGAAAGGAAAATAACCAATTTATTAAATAAAACATTTATTTAAAATTGTACTTAAAATTAAATTTAACAATTTTATTTAAAAGAAAACAATGATAAAAACCAACGCAATTCGACTCAGATAAATAGGTTTAGTTTACTCAGTTTGTAGCCAAACCTAATAATTTCCATGGTAAATAAGTTGTTGTTGATTCAAATCGTCGCTTTGTTTACGAAGTCTGCCACACATCCCAATTAGGTTATAACGACATTGTTACGTAATGCACGTCAACCCCTGAAGTTTGACCAAGTTGATTGGAACTGTCGACACTTCGGTATTCGTTGCTTCTTAGTGCCCTTGAATTTATAATCGATTTGGGAACACTTGCACGCGACGTTTATATGACGTAAAATGATTGTAAACCGCGGAATGCTAACGGTATAAGCTATACCGCGGCAATGTAGATTCTGGTATCTAACACGGCATCTGCTTGTTAGTATTATGTTATCAGCTATTATTTACTGCTGGTGTTATTATCACTTGTGTACTACACTGCTGTTAAGCACAAAAAGCTCACTTGTTGAATGCGTGACGTTGTATATGAGTTACGCAATCGTTCGTCGTCATAATGTCGTGTATATACGTTTTCGCGCGCGGTCGTCGTCGCGCGCGCATGCGCATGCACATGTGATCCGCTGAACGGTCTTTGTGCTTACGTCATCCGCAACAACGAAACAGTCGTCAATGTCAAGTGTTAACATGTTTATGGATTATTACGAATAATGTATATATATATATATATATATGTATAAATAATATATACTATATAGATATTATATATATACTATATATATATATATATATATATGCGTCTGCAGCTATATAGCCGTCCATTGAGAAGTCGCTTCAATTGAATTAACTCAAATGTCTTTTTTGAACAAAATCAAGCGAAGAGAGTAGTGATCAAAACCGAGCACATAAGCGCGGCTAAGAGAGAGGAAGCGGAAGGGAGAGAGAGACAGGGATAAACTTGTTAAAACAATTCGTTTAGAGGTAAAGTGTATATCAGTGTGTGTATGTGTAGATGCATGCGGCTTCCATAGTGAATGCCTAGTACCGCAATCTTCGCGTAATTTGCCCAGAATTGCTGCAAAGCAGCGATTTTCCGATATATTTTTTTCCCAGCCTACTGATAAAACGTTGCGTGAGCTTCATGGAAACATTTGTTTGCGAGACGTATCCGGAAGTAAATTTGTCGTGCTTCACACACATTCTTACTTGTCGTATTTTAGTAGGTCTAATTATTATACGAGCCATACACGCGTGTGCGACACAACAGGGAGTCAATCTTCCTCACAACAATGTTGTGTCAACGCTGCAACGCTAGACACTCGCACATCTACCAGAAGCAAAAGTTGATCACCAGAGATTATTTTTATCTGCTTCCCTGCATGCGTGCACATTTACTGTCACTACAGGTAGGCAGTGCTACCAACGCGGCAGTTAGTTCTAGTCGGTTTATCTGCGACCCAGACGGAGTTTCAACTACATAGCAACGACATACGTAACGATACAAGGCCAAAATGGGAGCCAAATACGAAACCACACACGAGCATTTCCGCGATAGCAATGAAAAACAGTGCAATATCAACGACACAGCCATTTTAACAACGCTAGAACTACATTGGAACAACACTGTGAAATATAAAGCAATGATGACAAGATATAAACAATAATAAAGTAACAATAAAAATAAAAAATTTAACCACAATGAGGCCGTAATTAGTAAAACAATTAAACGACAAGGAAGACTGAATTAAACAACAATGAAATAACAATTAGACGTTAACGACGTGAAAGGACTACACTAATGATAATTCCTGATATAATAGTTTCTTATAACTAACATATAACCTAATATACTATCTGATCCATAAGTTTCTACACATACACACACATAGACAACGCAAGACATAGACACATAGCACATTGCACATTGCACATAGCACATTGCAATAGACACATTGCAGATAGACGCAACGCGTCGAGCGATATATCTGGTACAAGAACTGCTATTACATTGCCGTCTCTCTCATATTACAAGAAGATGTCGTTTTCATAACGGTCACTATATATACTAGCTACTATAAACTTGTTCTGGTGGGTGAAAATGTGCGAATGGATGATTGTATTATTATGAGCAATGTATGCTTGCTGGCCACTCAGCGTGTGATGAACTAATGAGATTTCACTAAACACTCCCGCTCCCTCCACACATCCGCACGTACACACGCGCGCACACACACGCACGTATATTCACTTACTCACTCTTTCGGTCCTTTCTCTCTAACGCGCGCGTGGTTTCCCCTCGCTCCCTCTCTTTCACCACATCGCAGTCTGTTGCAAGATATGGAGGAATGTATTGCAGTGATATAGCATACGTTGATGATTTTGATATTGATGTTGATGTTGATGATGTTGATACGTTGATTCTAGCGTTAAAAGTTGATAGTTGATACATTGATACGTTGATATTAACATGAAATATAGCATATCTTGGTGAAGAGTGAGAGCCGTCAGTCCTATATGACAACTGTTATGCCGATGACGCGGCACCTGGTAATTTAGGTTGACATATATATTTTCTCGTAGGGTCAATGCGGCTGTTGCTACGCTTTTGCAATGGTGAGTATGAATACACACACGCAAATATATATAATTATGTAAGCATATAAAAAAAATAGATATATAGGACTTTGAACTATATATTATGTGCAGATCGCCGTCAGCCGTACACAAAAGATGGCGCTCTGCAATTCTTACATACGCAGGCGGTCGCCGAATTTTAGCATGTTTTCCTATAGGCGGATAGCCCGAAAATGGTTTAAATGCATTTCGTCTCATGCTCTATATTTTTGGTGTGAACGGCATGCGCAAATCCGATATTTCCCCTTGTGAAACCGAGAAATTATTCGAAATGTGTACATAGCGAAAACGCACAAAGGGAGTCTACTGGATTTCCTACAGTTGTCAACGGAAGCATTATTTCGTTAAATTTTGGAAATTTTTTTAGAGAGCACGTCGCCAGCGTTAGGTGCATCCGATAAAAATGTTTGCTAGCTTCTCAGCCCGTCGCATGCATCGACTGATGACAGGCGGCAGGGAAAATAGCTGTAGGTGGTAAAAAACGGCGGCTGAGTGAGGGACAATATAAGTGAAGTAGGAATTTTGCACCCTACAGGCTAGGGCGATCTACTAATTATGAACACAGGTCTACTGAAAATATTTTATTACAGAAATCTAGGCTGAGATACCCCCTCACCATATTAAATACATATTCATCACAAAATATAACTCCTCTCTCGTGAGATATTGCGCATGCGCTAACACACTAACGCAGCCAGATTGTGTACTGACTGGTATAATACAGCTGGAACCTTACATGCTAGGTCTTCTTCCTATTTCTTAAGGGAGGTCTACTCATGGAATTTTATCATATAAATCTGTGCTAGGATTACTCCTATTCATTTTAAATGCATAATTGATGCAAAATATTATTATTCTCGGGAGATATTACGCATGCGCGCGCACCGTTTCAGACGTGCAGTGCGGACTCATTAAAACTGCATTATATAGCTTACTGAGGGAGAGAGGGGTGGGAGACTGAGGACAGACGGCAGAGGAAATAGATGTAGGCGGTAAAAAACGTTTCTAGAGGCGACGTCGGAAAGATGTGCGGGCGGTAAAATGGCCAGCATAGGATGTGCATCAGTTATCACCGTCGGCCGCTCGAAAAAGATGGCGCTCTGCAATTCGCAAATACGCAGGCGGTCGCCGAATTTTACCATGTTTTCCTATAGGCAGATAACCCGAAATTGGGTTGAAAGCATAATTTCGCTTCATGCTCCATATTTTCGGCGCTAACGGGCATACGCATATCTGATATCTCCCCTTATAAAACCGAGAAATTATTCGAAATGTGTACATAGCCAAAACGCACAAACGGAGTTTACTAGATGCCCTAAAGTTGCCGACGCAAGCAGTATTTCGCTGAATTTCTACAATTTTTCTGGAAAGCACGTCGCCAGCACTAGGTGCATCCGATACAAAATTTCGCTAGCGTTTCAGCCGACGTCGCAGAGGCGACGTCGGAAAGAGTTGCTGGCGGTAAAATCGTCGACCGGAGCTGTCCAGCATATAGTATTATGGCAACGCGCACACTCGCGCATATCTATATATATGTATATATAGTGAGTTGAAGCTGCGCAGATGCTGTTCGTATTCTATCGACGGATTTATTTTTCGGTCGCATCGTGTGTTGGCGCTCGCTCGCAGACTCTCACAATGGAAACATGTTCGGGGCTTAATGTAGGAGCTCGTGTGCATGTGCGGAACGCATGGAGTGTAGCATTTATGCCGTACGGCTCATCGTTCTACATTGTTACGGGTCGTGCCTGCCGCAGGCGCGAAGTCCTGCATGCGCACTGTCTCCTTCAGGTACCGGGAGGATGCAAATACTGAAATATGTATGCCTGATATCATGCATCCGTGAAAGCATGCAGTATCGTGCCACGATTTCACGTGGGATAAACACATTCAGTTTAGGATTTGCGGGTAGAATCTGATGCTAACTGTAAAAAACACACGTGTGTCTACTTCTATTTCTTGTCATATATTGATATTGTAATTAATAATATAACCTTGATATTACCTTGTAAAACCGTCAATTGTTTCCTAATTTAGGATAAAAATTAATCCTATTATATACTACAATATACGTGCACTATAGTAGGGTAGAACCTTATATTTTTACGAAATTACACTTTTTACGCTTAAATAATAGTAAGGGATAACCATAGTTTTTCTTTTGTCCTATGTCATCGGTATAAAACGTCTGTGAAAGTAAATTAAAAGCACAACTTGACATCAATACAGCAAGCGGCCTCAAAGGTAATAGCGCCGCCATAGACGTAGTCAAACAACCGTCAATATAGTTTGTTAGCTTATTGATTATTATCATGACAAAACAATACAAGAATCACGTTTATAAAGTGGCACAATCCTAATCCAAATGTCATCGAGCAAAAATACGAATTTGCTATCGAGTGCTACTTCTTTCAGAAACAAATAACTGTTGCTATAACAGTGTAATAGAGTAATTAAGTATGACGGTAAATGATCTAATCCTTACCTAGCGGCTGTGAGTTGGGACATTGCGGCGCCATCTGGTGTGAAACATATTAACTAAACTGGATCGGCTACAATTTACACGAAACTATTTCAAGCAGCGCGAAAGCATTCAGCTTATTACAATTAATACGTCAAAACAGAAGTAGATAATAGGAAAGGAGTGTGACTTCAATAAACAAGGGAAATTCGTCATTTACTAGCCTTAGAATACCTACGATTTACTACGCGTAACCAACCAACTCAACCAACTTGAGCTCAAATCTGGAAAAGTTTTGTTTACAAGAGAAATTATGGAAGAATTTGTTTGTTAATAACATTTTTTTGTTAATAATATATTGTCACTTGCGCCTTGGATTTAGTGGATGGCATTATTATTTGTAAAAAAAACTTGTGCTGATTTATGGGAATTTTTTCGTAAGTATGGCCGGTATGGCCGCCTATGGGAAAGCATTTCCTATTGTGGTACCCACAGAAACTGGACGAAACGCCAAAATGGTGTAATGCAATTGAATGGTGGCGCCGTCCAGCGAATGGATCCGGAGCGGTACACTAAAAATCTGGCTGTGGTGACACACCGTGGATGTGTAACGTTATAACATTAAAACGTCTCTATCGTTAATTATAATATTTGGACTGAAGTTTAATTACACATTCCTGAATCTAGAAGGTCAAATGTTAGTCTTCAAGTAGATTTTGCTCTATTAAACGGCTGTACATTTATTTTTACATGCAAAACGATCATCCATCCCGTATCACAGACTAATGCACAATACACACAATACATCAAAATGCGAAATGTGCACACGGTATACTGTGCTACAGTCTGTAGTTTAATTTATTCCTCAGTCTGTGACCGGATTTTGTAAAATGTTTGTTTTTTCTACAAACAATAAAAATAATAAAGACGATATAATTTCCATATTTTTTACTCAAATACCATTAATCACATTTATTGCTAAGAAGCTTAATCACAAGTGCTGGAGCTTCAGCAATTTACGATTCTGCTTGTTTCTAGGTTCGGAGTGCAGGAGGGTTACTGACTTCTATCAGAGATGGAACTGCGTCCTTTCTTAGCCTCTTAAATTTTTTGACTTGCCCTTGTGTTTTTAATAAAGGTGAAAGAATTATGGAAAATAAGGTAAAATACAGACAGTTTACAGTTTTTATTAGCAAAATTATTCAGCATGTGTTGGTTTTCTTTTGATATTGCCATAAGCAATAATGATATACTTCAGTGCCCAGCAGTGAATATTCCTCAACCGTATTTTTCTGTTTATGTATATTTTATGAAATCAAGCCTGATACATGTATAACCATGACCCATGAGTCACACGACGAGTGCCAGAGAAAGCAATGTATTTTACTAATTTCCCATACTAATAATAGTTATATTTTTAAATAGGCACAGTATATCACATTTCAAAGCAGCCAGTGATTTTAACCCTTGTCAGCTGGACACATAAATTGAGACGCTTCAAAATGATTCTCGCAAATTAGCAGATATTTGCATTGACTGTCTTTTAACCCGTCAATGTCGGTTCTTCTTTTGTTGCAAATCTACTTCCGAAGTCTAAGTACATGATCAGCTACATGTATCATGTGATGTGGTGTATTATTTACAAATTGCATATCGTTTTAACTGGTATTTTTCACAGAACAAAGGGCAGAAGAATTACACAGATCACCGAACCAAGTAGTGTTTTCCCTAACTTTTAACTGTTAGCTTCACAAGATTGTATATTGTATTAGTTTACATTGATATTATGATTACATATAATTAAACAATCAATAAGTACAGTCTCTGTTCGTGTGCACAGCAGTCAGTGAGTCACTGCATCTATCATTGCCGTCCTAACAAATTTATTATTCGCAAACATATATAACATGCAACACGTGATAAATTTAGTACCTATCATGCTAAGTGGGAAACTTGAAAAACGCTATATCTGGGAATATATCTAGAATACATTATGCAAATGATTCCCGTACCGGTTTGAATATAGACACCCCATACTCTCTGTGAATATTGAGTTTATTGACGCACGATTAGTCAATATATTAGCAAATATATGCGTACCGTAATCTCCCGTACCGGCATGAATATAGACACCCCCGATGCCATTTCGAGTAGTTGACCGCTTCATTCGCCAGGGGCAGCACCATCAAAACGCTTAACAAGCAGGGTATACGAAGTGTCCAGTCTGTGTATTCGTTAGTCTGTGGTGTGGCTCGCTAGTAGCTGCCTTTTGTTTCAATTTAGGCGGTTTATACATTCAGTTTGCTGGCGACATAATGGAAAATCGTGTCGTACGTTTTAGTCTGTATTTCCGGATTACGGGCGTATACGAGGAAACGATTTCGCACGATGCTAGGCGAATGTACTGTGTACGATTTGAGCTTAAGTTGGTTGAGTTACGCATAGTAAATCGTAGGTATTCTAAGGCTAGTAAATGGCGAATTTCTCTTGTGTATTGAAGTCACACTCCTTCCCTATT